GGGACCATAGCTGTGGGGAGATGCAAAATCTTTTCCCCTAAAGCTGAGATATAAATATAAATATGTATGTGTGTGTGTGTGTGTGTGTGTGTGTGTGTATATATATATATATATATATATATATATAGTCATTAAATATGAAATGTCCAATTTTGAATCAAAAGTGTAGTTTATTATATCTCAAACAAGAAGCAGTACAATTAATCAAAGTAGGTGCCTGAACTATTGACACCGTTTTGCCATCTTAGTGGTAGCTTGTTTATGCCAGCAGTGAAGAAGCCTGGAGAGCGAATGGCAATGAAATTACAAACGGCGTTTTCCACAGCTTGTTGAGAATTGAATATTTTTCTTGGCAAGAAGTGGTCCAAAGCCTGGAAGAAGTGGTAGTCAGTTGGTGCAAGGTCTGGTGAATACAGTGGGTGACAGAGAGTTTCCAAATCCAGCTTCTGTAGTTTGAGCAGCGTTGTTTGTGCGACATGTGACATGTGGTTGAATGTCGTCTTGTAAGAGGATTGACCAGTCTCTATTGATCAGTCTTGGCTGCTTAATCGCAAGTATCCTCATCATTTCATCCAATTGGTGGCAGCAGACATCCACTATACTTGACTGACCAGATTTCATGAAGCTGTAGTGGATAATACCAGTGCCGGACCACGAAATAGACACCATGAGATTTTTTTGATGAATATTCGGTTTTGGACTATGTTTCGGCACTTCGTCTTTATCCAACCTTTGTGCCGAACGCTTGCGATTTTTATCAAAAAGGATCCATTTTTCCTCACATGTAAGTAATAACACAGTGTAGAAATGGTTCACCTTTATGTCGTGACAGCAAAGAAAGGCAAGCTTCGAGACGATTTCTTTTCTGACGCTTGTTTAATTCATGCAGTACCCATCTATCCAGCTTCTTTACCTTGCCAGTTTGTTTCAAATGGTCCAATATTGTTGGAATAGTGACATCAAACCTCGCTGCTAATTCACGTGTAGGTTGAGATGGATTCGCTTCCACTACAGCTTTTAGCTCATCATTATCCACCTTGGTCTCAGGTCACCCACATGGCTCATTTTCAAGATTAAAATCACCAGAATGGAACTTCTCAAACCATTGACGTACTATGCATTCTTCAGCTACGTCCTTTTCAAACGCTTCGTTGATACTTCGAGCTGTCTGCACTGCCTTAGTTCCACGACAGAACTCATATTCAAAAATATGCAAATTTTTTACAAAAATTGCTCTAAAAAATTTTGAAAGATAATCACAAGCCAAAACATGCATTTGCAAGACTGAAGATACACCTTCATAATAAACATAAAACAAGAAGTGTAAAAGTGAAATGTCAGAGATATCAGTTGTCAAACTTAGTACTTAAGGGATCGGACATTTCATACTTCACAACCTGTATGGCTTACGGTAGTAATTCAGCAGTGAGTGAGAAACCCAGGAGAAGGGAGAATTGCTGGATCGATGTCCTTAGGTAGGCAAGAGACGATGAGATGCAGTGTGCAGTGAGGTGTTGACCTTGGAGAGGAGTGCAGACATCTCCTACATTGTAGTGGACATGTGGGCACAGATGCAGGGACGTAGGTAGGTGTGGTGTGGGGACACAGGGAAGTTCTCTTCTGATTGCTTCTGTTTTTTTTTTTTTTTTTCAGTGAAATAGGAAGCACAGTCATTAGCTGAGAGTAAGGAGCTATCGGGGGGATGGAAATTTAAGTTTAGAGAGGAAGGTTTAGAATAGTCCTCTGGGAAAATGGAGAGCAGATAGATTAGGGAAATGTGGATGGATTGCCAGGCAGCATTGAGAGTCCCCTTGAGGTTAATGGTCATTTTAAGGTGAAACCAGTCGGTGGGCTTGTGTGCTTTTCTCCAGCCACGGTCAGCCACCCTGGTAGAGAAGCAGAGTGGATGTAGAATTAGTTTTAACCAGGATCGAGGTTTGGCCAGGTGAATGCACTGAAGGAAGAGAGAGGCAAGGAGCTGATCGTGCATGCAAGGGGTGAGTGTAACAAGGGACCAGGTGTCTAGTCTGAGTAAGGCGAAGGACATGCTGGGATGCGAGACAGTATGGAGATTTGAGGATTGATGGATTTTAGTTTCTGATGTGGCAGAAGGACCAATGAAGTCAGGATTTTGGAGATATTGGAAAGCTAGGAGATGGTTAGTCAGAGAATAGAGAAGCCTGAACTTGAGATTGTGGAGCAGGTGCACACATGTTGATAGGGTCTAGAACGATGATTCTCACCCAGGAGTGGTTTCAGCCCTGAGGCCGCATTTGTGATATCTGGAGACATTTTTGGTTATTACTACTGGAGGTGGAAGAGATGCTACTGTTACCTAGTAGAGGCCGGGGATGCTGCTCAGCATTCTCCAATGCACCGGACAGTTCCCCACAGCAAAGAATTATCTGGACCAACAGTGCTGAGTTGAGAAGCCCTGGTTTAGGGTGTGGCCATAGGAATGAGTGGCGGGGATAGGCCTGATCTTATCCAGATTATTGGAGAAGAGAAAATAAACAAAGACACCAGCATTTTAGAAGGTTTATCTTATGAGTACAAGAGTAGTATTGGAGGAAAGGATAGATAGTCAGGGAGGAAGTTAACTTCCTGTGTATGGAATCATTTGCTTTTTCTGGTGCTAGCTGATTGGCTAGAGTTGGAATTCATAATCCTGGCTCTGATAGCCGCAGGTTCAAATTAGCCAAAGAGTGATGGTATATTTTTTAAAAAGCCACTTGTTTATTAGCCAGCTTTGGTGTAACTAAATCAAGTCTGTCTTAAATAGATTGTTTAAAAGCCAATTAGGGATTTGGTTAGTCTTTTTGCTAAAAATTCTGTGACTGCAAATTTCAACATGTGTCCTAGTCCCATCTTTATATACTGTCTCAGGGTAACAATTCTTGCAACCAGGCCTTGAGGCAGGGATCTGGTTTAAGAAAATCCTTGAGAAACCTTATGCATGGGCTTTAGAGACCGTGGCTTTCCTTGCAGTGCTCATCACCTAGTCCAAATGACACAGAATGAGTAAGGGTTGCAAACCAGTGCTGCTTCCTGCAACTAGCTGGTCAACTTGTTTAGTCTTGTGTTTTGTCCTTCATTTTGAACTCAAGTGCCCTAGAGCTGCTTTTCTGCCTACCCACAAAAGCAAGGCGCGTCTTTCGTTTTCTTCTCTTCTGAAAGAAAGGCTTGTTTTGAGGTTTGGACCACAAATAATAATCCATTGTTTCCTATAATAATAATCTACCCTCTTTAGCAGAAAAAAATCCGCTTGATACAGTGTGGCTATCAGTTTATTTAAAAGAATAGCCAAAAGTGTCCATTGTGTCCTGAGAATAAACATTTGGAAGATGGATGGGAGGAACGGGGGAGTACTCTTGTTCTCCTTGGCCCAGAGTCATAGTTAAGCCCTCAAGAAGAAAAAATTCTGTAAATGACTGTCAGTTCTGGGTGACAATACCCTTCCTTATTCTGCCTGTCTGTTACATTCTAAGAATAATTGGAGCACTGCAGATATTTAATCCAAACTATTTCTTCAAAAAATACCTAATTTTGAAAATGGGTGTTTTTAAGTTACCAATTTTAGGCCAAAGAAGTTTCTTTCTAACCTTCATTTAGTTTGTGAAGTTGTCTCTTTTTGAGTGAAGACTACCTTCTTTTAGCAGCAATCCTTAACAATTCCTGCAGTTGCCTCTGGTTGCAGATCTTGAAAAAAGAGCTATTCTTATATTCCAAGTGGTAGATATATCTTAGTTACTATTTCCTGGGCTTAGGCTAACTGGAAAAACTGGATAGGTGAAATGAAAATGTGGCAAGTGTAGTCGGCTATTTCTTGAGTACACGCATACCTAGTACACTGAAATCTTACGTAGGTACGATTTCACTAACAAAACCAAAATGTATTATGCATCTTTCTACATTTAAGACCTTTACAGGAAAAGGATCAGTTAAATAAATAATAACAGGGCTTAAAATGAAGTAATATATCTTACTTTGAATAGTTTTAATTGCTTTAAATATGGAAGGTGAGAAAAGTTCAATGTGATAACAATTGCAGTGTAACAGGTAAATGTGAGAACTGTTTAAAGAAGTAAAAACACAGCCTTCGTATCATTAAAAACAGAGCTTCAGGGCAGCAACCAAGAAGTCCTTCAATAGCTGAATGAATAAACTGTGGTACATCCATACAGTTGAATATTATTCAGCAATAAAAAGAAAGAGACACCAAGCCACAAGAAGACATGGAGGAAGCTTAAGTGAATATTGCTAGGTGAAAGAAGCCAGTCTGAAATGGCTACGTACTGTGTAATTCCAACGATAAGACATTCTGGAAAAGGCAAAAATATGGAGATAGTAAAAGGTCGTAGTTGCCAGGGGTTTCGGAGGAGAGGAGACATGAATTGGTGGAGCACGGGGGATGTTTAGGGCAATGAAACTATTCTGTATGATAATGTAAAGGTGGAGACATGTCCCTGTACACGTTTGTCAAAATCCGTAGAAGGTACAACACAAAAGTGAACCCTAATGTAAACTATGGACTTTAGTTAACATTGTAACAATATTGGGTCATCAATTGAAACAAATGTGCCACACTGATGACAGAGGTTAATAGTAGGGGAAACTGAGGGTGGGGGTTGGAGTGTGAGGCACTAATGAGAACTCTCTATTTTTCTACTTCATTGTTTCTGTAAACATAAAACTGCTCTTTAAAAGATCTTTTAATTTTAGAAAAGCATAAGTGTTTAGGTATAGCCAGACTAGTAAAAATATTTTCTTAACTAAAAATCAAAACAGTAAGACCCCCAGACTGTCAGCAACTATTCTATTTGTAGGAAGTACTTACTTATAGACTATCCTACCAGAAATGCACAGTATAATGGCAGTGGATTACTGTGTATATCTGGGAACTTTCTTGTATTTTTTCTTGTCATCTTCTGTGATAAATATGCACAGTAGAATTTCTGCTAAATCCTACTTTTAAACTATCTTTTTTCCTTTCTCTCTAGTGACAGCTAGAGTATCAGCCTTGGAGGTCTACACACCAAAAGAAATCTTCGTGGCAAATGGGACCCAAGGGAAGCTGACATGCAAGTTCAAGTCTACTAATACCACTGGCGGGTTGACCTCGGTATCCTGGAGCTTCCAGCCGGAGGGGGCCGCCACGACAGTGTCGGTAAGCATGCTTGACTGCTCGTGGCTAGTCCTACCTCATGGGTTTCTTTATTGCTCGAGTGCAGTTAATGGTCCATTCTTCTGATCGTGCATTTCCAAAATGAGTGTATTTATTATCTATGACAGACTTCAGGGCCCTTTCTTTTGCCTCAAACTTTTGAGGAAAAAGTAAGTTCAGCGTATCTTAAGTGAGCTTATTTCCTTGTCTTGGCATATCATTCTCCCCTTGGCATCCCCTCAAAGCCTCTCCACCTTCAAATCCTATTGTGAAATTGATCTTTCCCACAGAGCAGTCCTTAATTGACCATGCTGACATGCTTCAGGATTTATCCCGCATCTTTTCAGTTTTTATTCGCCCCCTTCTTATTTCTATTTCTTTTACTTATTACTCAATTTGTGTGTGTATATGTGTGTATGCACATGCTCCCTTCTGATTTAATTATGAAGTTCTTGATTTAGTTTATAGGCCATCTGGTTCAGCAATATTTACGGAGAGCTTACCATCCAGTGGGTATGTAAGGCCTTCAAAAATGTCTAAATGACAGTTTTTGCTCTCATGCAGAGAGTGGCCAGGAGTAAGATTAGTATATAGATGACTTCAGAGTAAGATGAGGGGCACAACAAAAATACAGCACCAGAGGGCTGGAAGAAAGGTTTGTTAGTTACTAGCTGAGTGCTGGTTATGCAGTGGGTGCTTGTTGAACATAGACTGACTATCCAGGTTCTTGTCTATAAAATGGAGATAGTAAAATCTCCCATATAGGGGTGTTAGGGGAATAAAGTGAGATTATACAAGATAAGCGCACAGGACAGTGTCTAGCTCTGGAGGTACTACTGTATACTATTTCTTATGTTACTGTTGTTCTCTCAGCATGTCGAATGTCCTTCAAGTATTGGCACACACTTTAGCAGTGTTGTACATTTCAGGTTGTCAGTACTTGGCAGGGAGAGCGTCTGCCGTCTGTCTTTAAATAAGAATACCCAACTCTTCTCTTGAAGGATGACGAGTTACATTTGTTGATCACCACTCAGATGCTAGGTCCATCAAACATTTAATCTTCACACCTCCATGAGGAAGGAGTACTTTCTCCCCTTCCGGGTGGGGAGGGGGAGGAGGATGAGGGACACTGACTCAAGAGTATTTTGATTAATGTGTTTAGCTAGTCAGTTTATACTTACATACTCGCCTGACTACAGTTAACTTCAGAATGCTCAGTTATTGGTATAGAAGCCATTATCTCCAAAATGTCAGGATACATTTAATAAGATGAGCAGGTTGCTTTTTGCTTTTATACATTTTATAGGAAAATTGTATTCAAACCCAGCATACCATAGATGGCTTTTCTGGTTCATGGACTTAGAATCCACATGTCTAAAGAGGGCAGAAGGGAAGTGGTAGGGGACGGTGGAGGGAAGGACCAAAAAATCCAAAAAAAATCCCCACAAAATTCATCTCTAGACGACCACAACTACCCTAAAAAAATGGGCAGAGAAAAAAAAAACAGAGGGGAGAAAAAAATGAGTTCCATTTTAGACATGGGTTGACGAAGGCATTATTCCTCAATTTAGTTTGGCAAACTTATGTAGCTCCTGCTATGTGCCGAGTGCTGAGGAATGCAGAGATAGATACAACCTATCCCCTGCCTTCAAAGGGCCTGAGAAGGGACCTGACTGAGGGAGCCGTGTAGGACCCAGGGGTGGAAAGCAACAGATTGTAACTGTCATTGGTGGTTCAGAAATGCAAAGCAGGGAATATTTGGAGATGATGTGGGAAGAGAAGGCAGAAATCAGCTGGTGAAAGGGTTTGTTAGCTAAGCTGAGAGTTTATGGTTTATTTCCTGGTGAAGAAGAGAGAGTGAAGGAGTTTGAGCAGACAAGGCATGATTATACATAAGAAGCAATAAGTAATGGAAATAGCATAAGCTTTGAAATCAAAGGTGAGTTTAAATTCCATCTCTAAAACCTATGACCTTGAGCAAGTCACCAAGCTTTTCTGAGCCTCACTTTCCTCATTATGAAATATCAGGCAGGCAAACCTCACCTTGCAGGGTGGTTGTGTGCACTGGAGAGTTGTTGAGTTTTCCATTGGTCTTTCACGTTTCTGCACGTCTTGCAAGCAGGGGCGCTGGCTGCCTTTGTTCTGGACTTTCTTTGTACAGAGACTAGCCTTGGAAGACAGAGATAATGTTTCCCTCTGGGGCACAGGACAGATTTGTTTACTGTCCAGTATAGTAAAAATAGTATCTCCCTTCAGGGCAAAAGTCAGACATGCCTTCTGCCCATTATAAAAGATTTGAGTTCCCTAAGCTCGGGGGTCCTCAGCCTGGTGCCTGCCTCTGCACGTGCAGCATCCACCTGAGCCCTCCATGCCATCCTCGTGGGACGTGGGGGCGAGGGCAGCAGGTAAACACATGCTTCCTGCTGTACCGTAAGTAGGTTCTTTGCCTTTGAGTCTTCTTCATGGAAGTGAAAACTTCACATGATTCTGTGTCTAATGCCAACATCTACGAACTTGTGGCCAACTAACTTCGCTAGCTTGCAAGTAGGGTAAAATCTCAGACCCTTCATTATTCTTAACAAGCATTTAGGTCATATCACATACAGGCTAAACATTTGATTAATGGTAATAATAATTATTATTGTTTATCAGTGATCATTTAGGCATCATGGAGGATGGATTAGAGGAAGTCGAGGCTGGAGTTAGACACAGCAGTTAAGAGGCCATAGTCAAGATGACAAGAGCATGAAACCAGGTGTCATCAATGGAAATTGAATAGAGAGAAGAAAACTAAGAGAAGTTTATGAGGTAGATTGACAATATTGGGGGATGAATTAGATGGGAAGAAAAAGGAATCAAGGATTACTCCAAGATTTATGGTTTGGGAGACAGATGGTAGCCATCAGTCAACACGAGATACATAGGTAGGAGATGAAGTTTATAGGAGAAAGTGACAAGCTTGGGGGACTTGGTCAGCCTGGTGGTAAAGTGAATAAGCAGTTTTGGGAGGAGTCTAGAGTTTAGGGGACACTATTGATGGAGAGAGAGATTTGGGAGTTAAAATAGAGATGGTCCTTTAAGTGACAGGAACTGGAGAGATTGCAGAGGTGTTTAGCACCATCAGAATGTTCTGAAAATGTTCTATATGAATTGCCGGTGGAGCTGATTTCTACCCCCGGCCCCACCATCACCCCATCCATGAACGAGAACAAAGACACCAATCCTCTAGCAGAGTTGCTTGGATTACAGCTGTGTGTGAGGGTAGATCCCCTCCCACCAGGCCTTACCTTGCTTCCAGGGTGCTGGGTTTGACGAGGTTCACTTTGAGAAATAAGTTCCTTTGCTAAAGGCAGGTCTGAGGAGAGAGTGAGGAGTAGAGAGAGGAAGGGGCCAATAGCTGAACCTTCTAAGGCCGGTGAGAGCGTTTTGTTATCTGGGCTTTGTTCCTTTCACACACCCATGACTTTTCCATAGAAAACCAACAAGTAAGAGGGAGAAACCCACAGATTTAACTGATCTGTGGTATCTAGGATTCTTTTTCATTGTGCCTTCATGTATCTCAGTGGTACGCTTTGTGAACAGTCAGCTTTCTGAAGGCTTTGGATTCACTGGGCTCAAACACGGTGTTGCTGGAAGAGTGTTGGCTTTGAAGAATCGGAAGGGCCTGACTTTGACTCTGGGTCCCTCACTATCATGCGACTTTGGGAAAATGACTTCTTTGAGTCTCCATTTCCTTATATAAGTGGTATAAGTAGCAATAATTATATTAATGGGATATTGAGACGATTAGAGAAGATATATGAACCTGTTTCTTCAACTGAAACCTGGCAGGGTTGACCCCCTGATCTCTAAACCTCTTAGATTCCATAGCTTGAGGTTTATAATATGATATTGCATTTCTCTCTGTGTGGAGTCTTTTTTTAAAAGAACCTTTTGCAGCACGCCTGTTATAGAATTTAGGAATTCTGCCTTTGAAAATAGCTCACATGTTCTTTTTTTCTAATCGCAGTTTTTCCACTACTCCCAAGGGCAAGTGTACCTGGGGAATTACCCACCATTTAAGGACAGAATCAGCTGGGCTGGAGACCTCGACAAGAAAGACGCGTCAATCAACATAGAAAATATGCAGTTTATACACAATGGCACCTATATCTGTGATGTCAAAAACCCTCCCGACATTGTTGTGCAGCCTGGGCACATTAGGCTGTACGTCGTAGAAAAAGGTACTTCTTGAGTATTTTTGCAGTAATGATGCAATCTCCTTTATCTTGTGTTTAGTTGGAGAACAAGAGATCCATTTCAAGGTGTGTTTGAAGGTGGTATTTTTGCCTTACAGTTGGGGAACTGTTGCTCATTCCAACCAAAGCGGCCGATTTCTTCATTTTTATTCCTGCTGTCTGGAGCCTATGGTTCTGATTTCAGGCCTATTAGTTTTTTAGAGTAATTAGAAGAAAGACCAAAGTTATTATGGTTGGATATAGTGGGCAGTGGGAAAGAAGGAGATTAATACTGTTTTATATTCTGTTTTGACATTTCCAAAACACTACCGTGATTTCTTCTTTTTTTGAGAACAAGCCGGAAATGCAGGTTCTTGGTGTCTCATTTTGAGACAAAGTCTGCTTTGTTAGAGAGTAGATTGAGGTACATTCACATCACTTTTTCTTTTATTTTAGAGCATTGAGAGAGATTGTAGATGTAGAAATGCTTAGTTCTGTAGTTCATGCCTATTTATCTAATATGTGTATGTCATCAGGTAGATACTAGGATCTCATAATTTGGATAATAAAAGACAGCATGGTAACTGTTAAAGGAAGACACTTGCTTATTAATTTAATAAAATTCCATTTTTTCCTCTCTGTAGCAATTTACCTTAAAACTATTTTGTTCTTTCTCTCTAGAGAGTTTGCCCGTGTTTCCAGTTGGGGTAGTGGTGGGTATAGTTACTGCTGTGGTCGTAGGTCTCACTCTGCTCATCAGCATGATTCTGGCTGTCCTCTATAGAAGGAAAAACTCTAAACGGGATTACACTGGGTAAGAAACGCTTTTTTAGGGGAGGAGTGGAGGGAAGGAATCAGGGTTTATAAAAACTTATGTATTTTTATGGGAAAAGGATTGTGAAGAATTAACTACTGTTTGCTTTCATGTCAGAGTCAGGCTGTCTCCTTAGGAGGTGTTCTGACATGGGCAAGCAGAAATCAGTGGCCTGCTATTAAATGCGGAATGTGATACTAATCCCTGTTCTACAGGTTCCTTTTTAGGTTTGGTGAAATGAACTGCTCAGCAGTCTGTGCTCTGTATTTCAGTACTATCCACTCTGAAATTAGTATTCTTAAGCTACAGGCATCACTTACCCAATTTAAGAGTTTAATTTTAATTTCTTGGCAATAATCTCATGAGTTTTTTTTTTTTTAGTTGGGTAAACGTAAAACCCTAATCAAGAAGTTGTGAGCTGGGCGTGGTGGCGCATGCCTGTAGTTCCAACTACTCAGAGGCTGAGGCAGGAGGATTGCTTGAGCCCAGGAGTTTGAGTCCAGCCTGGGCAATACAGTGACACCTCATCTATTTTAAAAAAAAAAAAAAAAAGTGGCCGGGCGCCACGGCTCACGCCTGTAATCCTAACACTCTGGGAGGCCAAGACAGGAGGATTGCTTGAGGTGAGGAATTTGAGACCAGCCTGAGCAGGAATGAGACCACCATCTCTACTAAAAATAGAAAAAATTAGCCGGGCATGGTGGCGCAAGCCTGTAGTCCCAGCTGCTCGGGAGGCTCATGCAGAAGGCTTGCTTAAGCCCAGGAGTCTGAGGTTGCTGTGAGCTAGGCTGATGCCACGGCACTCTAGCCCGGGCAATAGAGTGAGACCCTGTCTCAAAAATAAAAAAAGGAATTTGTGCTAATAAACTACCACCCTCAACCCTATGTGATGATATACCAGCGATAAAGAAAAGTAGACTTTCTTTCTGTTTATGGCTTCTCAAAAGGAACATATTTGAGCACAGGGTGTGTGTCTAATTGAAAGACCTTCTCTTTTCCCTACTCCAGCAGGAACGCTAACCCATATAAGCTATGTAAACTCACGTGGTAAGACTGGAAATGAAGGCTGGATTCAAGTTGATGTAGCACGAGCAGTGTCGCAGATGCATAGACCTAACTTTAACCACCTTGCAGGGACTGTCATTTGGGAGGATTGCATGCCTGGAACTCTCTTGCTGGTGGATGGCGGGCACCTCTATCTATGGCTCTGCTGATCTAGAGTGTTTAGGAGTGCTGTGTTTTAACAAGTTTGTTCAAATTCAGATGTTGATATTACTTGCTTGGAATGCTTCTGTTCTGCTGACTGTATCTGCCCCCTTGCATGGTGAGTGTTTTACGATTAAGTGTAGCTGGATTGTTGGTTTACAACATGAGACTAATCCAGGGTAGTAACCTGCCAGTCTTTGGAGTTCTTGCTTTTGGGTTAATAAAGGGGCAGGAAAGTGTTCCTTAGAATCCTAATCCTGCATGGCATCATGAATGCTGCTATTCTTCTTACTTTGGTTTTTTCCTCTTCCCCTGCCTTTTCTACCTTGGTGTGCTGGGATCAGATCCTGCTTATCTTCCACTTCTTAAGAAAAGCTGACATAGAAGACACATTGGGACTATAACAGGGCTGGGTCTCCTCTTCCACTCCCACTAGACACATGGTAACTAATCACATTGCCCGTTGCTGTTAATATTCATGTGTATGTATTCAGCCCATCTGAATACGTTGTTGACAGCTAACCAGCTAGCTCTGAGCTAACCCAACAGCTATTATGGTTTGTCCACAAATATGTCACGTGTTTGTATTAGAAACATGTTGAGCATACCATCGGATGAAATTGAGTTGTCAAGTTACATAGAGATTTTATGATCATCTGAATGTGTATTCTCTTCATGTAAAACACCTGTGTGTGTGTGTGTGTGTGTGTATGTGTTTGTGTGTTAGTTTTCTTTTTCATACGTGAATTGTATTATCAATGATTGAGGCCCTCTTTGTGATAGAATAATCAAACCAATTTGGTTCAGAGCGTGTAGCCTCCCATTTCAAAGAAGGCACAGTTTGCAGAATGCACAATGTGCTTTGGTCTTAGTAATGACGCTTTAAATGTGATCCTCACCAAACTCCTAAGTTTTTTGAAAAATATGAAGGATTTAAGCTGTCCTGATGACACATCTCATCAGGAAATCCCTAATGAGATACTTCCTGGCATTCACTTTCCCCGATTTCAGTTGTAAAAGTCCCCTAGACCCCCGAAAAAAGTTCAGCCTGTGTGACATGGCATTCCATAGTTTCTCATCATTCACAACTTCCTGGGGTTTTGGGGTTTGGTTGTGTTATTGGTAGAGAATAAAATACGGAGAGAACAAGACAAGCCAGGACTACGAACGAGCCTGGATGTATATCTGTAATTTTTAAAATACATTCAGAAGAGACTTGCCTTTGATGATAACAAAAGCAAATTGCCATAAGCCATCAAGAAGGTATTGTATAGTTTGCTCCCTTAAGCCTTTATCCCAAAGGAGAGTTGGTGGCAGGGGGAAAAGACAAAGCAGGAAAAAGGATCAGAGTGTATTGTGACCAGAATTGCATTATCATTGTCATAAACAAGGGTGAGGAGGTTGTACCATACCGGTTTCTGTGCCTCCCTCACTGACTTAGGAGAATGTGTGAGTGTCAGGGATAGAAAGTAGTTTTCAGATATGTGATCGTTCTGATATCCATTGTTCTATTGTCCTTTGTTTTTATACATCTGCTGCTTCATCTTGCCATCACTTGCATTTGTATGTTTTTGTTTCTGTTTAATTTTTTTTTTTTTTTTTTTTTTACATTTGTTCTCCAAATTGTCAATTCATCAGCTGCAGTACATCAGAAAGTTTGTCACCAGTTAAGCAGGCTCCACGGAAGTCCCCCTCCGATACAGAAGATATAGTAAAGAGTTTGCCTTCTGCATCTCACCAGGTAATGGCGCCCCACAGGCTGTGCTCTGTCACCTCCCTTGGTGCGGGAAGTAATTCTGAGCTGTGAGAGAGAGAGAGAGAGAGACAGACAGGCAGACAGACAGACAGAGACAGAGAAAGGGAGGGAGAGGGGAATTAAAGGGCTGGTCTAGGAAGACCACAAGAAAATATGTGGAGAAGAATCTGACCTGAGTAAAGGTTTCCACAAAACCACCACTAACAGAATTGTTGACTCATAATATGGCATCTTTGGCCCAAGTAGAATTAGAAAATGGCTTTGTCAAATGTAAAAGATTCTTCTTTAATTGCCCAGGGAAAGAAATCTAATGAACTAGAAATCTAATGTACTGAGGCACCCTGCAGACAAGAAATTAGCAGGGAGAAGTTGATATTCTTGGTATTGATGATAAAACAAAAATTATTTTATGTGGATTCTTTAGAAAAAATTGAAAGTGAGCATGTGTCTGAATAATAGGCTTGATAAGGAATGGTTTTGGTTTCCACTTCTAGTAGAAAGTATAGAAGAGAAATAATTTTTATTTGAAATTTAACATAGCATCTAGCATGGTATATTTTAGCTATGCTATTTTAGCTATAATTGTGGTAAGGCAGAAATTCCATAGCTTAGTACAAATTTGATTCTTCTGGGGTAGAAAGCATCCTGAGGAATTTGACCCATCCCTCATCATCCTGAGGAGAATGGATTTAAGAGGAAGTAAAGAGACTAACAGTGTTTTGTGGAAGAAGTACCCATAGTCTTATTCCACAGTTGTTATGTGTTATGAGGAAACCATTATACCAACGAGGAAACTAAGGCATTATGATATTACATTTCTAAAAGCACACACTCAGTGACAGAATTGGGGCTAGAACCCAGGTGTGTAGATAGCATGTGTTCTACCACAGCATCAGGCTCGTTACCTGTTCCCATTCTGTCTGTCTGATATACCGCCAATACCTGAGTCCACTCATTTGGATTATGAATGGGAATAGGGTTGTGAATGAAGGCATGAGAGTTACAAATAGGCGTAACATCTAAAGAAGGCTTGGAACATTTTCCTTCTGTCCTTGAAGTGCTCTCAGAGTTGCTCTTTTGCTGAAAACAAACTAGAAAAAAGAAACAGTGGTTTTCAAGATATTGGAAAACAGATTACACAGCACTGTGACCCCTGAGAGGAAGGAAACAAATAACGCGAGCCCTGTGATTGCCCCCACTTACTGCCTTGAGACAGTTTCCACGCTGCAGTGCAGGGAGGGAAAATGGAAATAGAGCCCAGCTGTCTCAGTGAGTTGAGGAGGCAGAAATCAGAGTTTGAAAAGGTCAGGGTGGCTAGAATTTGTGAGGCACAGTACCAGAGAAGAAACTACAGAGAGAGAACATGCACGTACGCTTCAGAAATCTGGAGTGGGGCCCCTGGAGTCTTTGTCTGAGTACAGATTTATACATGGGTAGGAGAAAACTCTCTGAGACCAGGGAAAGAACTACCTGAAAAGCAGTAGGTTGCACAATGCCTGGAGCTCACACAGGGCTGGGAATGGTTTGTGTTCCCAAAAGCCAAAGTAGAGAGACTCATAATATATAGGGTATTGGTTAGGATGCTCAGAATGATCATGCCTTAGTGTGGGGCTAAATTAGCACCACTATAAAGGATGCTATAGACCCACCATAACAAAGCTTAAAAGGAAGCCTTTAAAGAATCAAACTAACCTAAAAGTAATTTAGCTGCATTCTACAACAAAATCCAATACTATTTATAAGAATACAACAAAACTCAACATCAGACAATGTAAAAATTCATAATGTCTGGCACCCATCAAAAATTACCAGGTATAAAAAGAAGCAGAAAAATAAGACACATAAGCCGGTGTAGTGGTGAACACCTGTAGTCCCAGCTACTTGGGAGACTGAGGTGGGATGATCACTTGAGCCCAGGAGTTTGAGACCCACCTGAGCAACATAGTGAAACTCTGTCTCTAAAAAAAGACATATAACCAGGAGAAATCAATTAGCAAAAACAAACCCAGAAATGAAAGAGATGAGGGTATTAATAAACAAGAACGTTAAAACAAGTATTATAAACCTTATTAATAAACTTAAGGATGTAAAGGAAAGCTTGAATATAATGAAGAAAGAAATAGATATATAAAATAAACCAAAATGGAACTTCTAGAAATTAAAAAAAAAAGTAGATAGCATTAACAAGTTAGATACTGCAGAAGCAAAGATCAGTAAACTTGAAGGCATAGCAACAGAAACTACCGAAATTGAAGCAGGAAGAGAGAGAAAGTCTGGGGGAAATGACAGAGTTTTATCGAGCCAGTGAACAATATCAAGCAATATAATTAAAGTCTAAGAAGGAAAGGGAAGAGAGAAAAAAATTTAGAGAAATAGTGAAATTTTTAATAAATTTGGTGAAAAACATAAACCCACAAATCCAAGAAGTTCAATAAACTCTAAGTAGAAGAAACTAAGAAAAGCACCCTAAGCCACATCATAATCAAATTGCGTAAGACCACTAATAAAGAGAAATCGTAAAAGTTGTCAGAAAAAAAGAGACATGATGATAGAGGAGCAAAAATAGGAGTGA